TAAAGAAAAGAAGATGGAAAGAAGGGAAGATAGGCTTGAAGTGAAAGAGGTCATGTAATTGGCTACAACTGTAGACGTGTCATGCCCCAGTTAAAAAACAAAACAAACAAAAACAAAACACCCCCCCCCAAAAAAAAACACACCAAAAAAACAAACAAACGAGGAAAAGACTCCCGAATGTAGATGTTTTGGTGGCGGGCTACTTCGACCGTGCCTGTCAAGTTGTATAGTTGATTCCCAATTACTTTTAGTTTGTGAGTAAGTTATTTACTCCAGTGTGTGCCCTCTGTTTTTCCTCCTTCTCTTTTTTACTTACTTCTCTTTGACTCTTGCTCCTGGTCTATTAGGGTCTAGATTAGTAAAATCCTTAGACGAAGAAAAAAAAATTAAACCCTGACAAAAAGAAAAAGGAAGTAAAGTACTAAACCAAAACAATACAAATGAACCCCCCCCTCCCCCACCTCTAAAACCCTCTTAATTTAGGTCTCAGCTCACACCTACCGGGAGCTCTCGTGGCCTAGAGGTTAAGGTGTTCGCCTCTCATTCAAAGGTCCCGGGTTCGAATCCAGGTAGCTGGGAAAACTTTTCTTCTTTAAAATTGTACACTGTCACCTCTTTTCCTGCTCTCTAGCTATGTTCAGTCGTCAGCTTTCGTCTTCACTTTCTGCCCTACCCCCTTATCTCTTTTGCCCCCTTCTCTGACTCTTTTTGCAGCCTCTCTACTGCTTCTCCTTGGCTTCTTACTGCTGTCTTTCAGCCACACCCCTGATCTTATGGTAGGTAAGATCTACACCTAGCCCACACCTTCTCGGACAAGGGCAAAAAATCTCGCAGGTTCCGTGTGAAAGTTGCGCACGTTAAACATCCCTCGGTGGTCCAAAATTGCTAAGAGCAGGCTTTGGACGCCATCCTGGCAAACTTCAAAATTACCTACCAACTGAAAAATCTTTGATGTGTCCCGAGCGCTCATATGACATCATGTTGTTGCAAGCGCCGCAAAACACTTACCCCAAAAAATATTTTTTTAAAAGAGAAAAAAAAATCAAACCCACCTTTCGCCTTGGTCTCAAAATGTATAGGCTGAGAGTGAAGGACAGCTCCGGATGTCATCAGGAGAGCGAGCTCGGCCACATACGCCATACTGGGCTGCAACTCAGTCATTTTCACGTGCGTCTGGCCGATGTCTGGTACGTTTAGTCTGAGGAAGTATGTACAATTCATAGGAAAATCATGTATTGTGAGAGGTAGGAGTTAACTGCTCCATCCAACACAGCGATGGTTGACGGAGAAAGGTTTGTCCTCTATTATTCCCCACAGGATACGACGTTTCTCCAAAGAGCTTGCACGGTAGGAATTGAGCAGGGGGGGGGCAAAGGAGACTATATAATGCCAATTATTCGTGCTGTTCAATAATAGTTTAAAAAAATAATAAAGCAACGTAAAGGGCATGGAATTGAAGGACTCAATAAAAAAATAACACTCAAGCAAACAAAACAAACAAACAAAAACAAACAAACAAACACACAAACAAACAAACTCACAAATTGAACTCACTTGTGTGTAAAATGTTTGGTGGGCCATACTCTGTAGGCAACGCTGATCCCAGAGACGCGCTCCCTCACCGTATCTGGCAAAGGGTCCCAGGACAAGATCGCATAGGACTCGGCGATCGTTACATCTCCAAGTGATATTGTCCATCCGGTACTCGCAGAGGCTAAAGGAACATTTGAAAGACTTATGATGATCTACGAGAATGTACAGTCGAACCTGTGTAAGACGGAATCGCAGGGGAGCCAGAAAAAAATTCCGTCTTAGAAATTTTCCGTCTTAGACAGGGGGATTTAGGG